CTCCTCCTCTCTCTCTCTCTCTCTCTATGTGTGTGTGTGTGTGTGTGTGTGTGTGTGTTTGCGTGCGTGCGTGTGTGTGTGTGTGTGTGTGTGTGTGTGTGTGCGCGCGCGCACGCGCGTGCGTGCGTGCGTGCGTGCGTCTGTCTGTCGGTCTCTCATTCTTTCTGTCTTTCTTTCTGTCTTTCTTTCTGTCTGACTGCCTGTCTGGCTGTCTGTCTGTCTGGCCGTCTGGCCGTCCGTCCGTCCGTCCGTCCGTCCGTCCCTCCGTTCGTCCGCCCGTCCGCCTGCCTGCCTGCCTGCCTGCCTGTCTGCTTGCCTGTCTGTCTGTTTGTTTGTTTGTCTATCTGTTTGTCTTCTAAGGCACTATGCTAACTTTATGATAAGGAGGGTACTAAGGCCTTTGCTATCTCACGTATGCATGTAGGATATTATCATGTATTTAGTGTTCTTTTGCAACGGTGGGGATTTTTCGCTATACGTTATATTCGCTGTTATATTAATTTTGTGCTTAATATATATGATATATATATAATGCGGAAACATAGTAGAGTAAAGAGATTAAAGTATTTTTTGCTGCAAAACAGAGATATAAGAATCGCTTGGGACTATTTTTTGTTTTAAAATCATTCGTCTGCTGTGCAAACCCGCATAACTCACGCGGTCATCAAAAATATGCCCAACGAAAACTTAATCTAATATTGGGTTCAACAAAACAATCGCAATCAGTGCTATAGTTTCCGTCCAGTCCCACACACATTAAGCAAACATGCTCTCCTATGCCAACAAACAGTTATAATCTTTATGCCTCTAGGAACGAAATTTAGCCAACTCGCCGACTGTACTTCATTTGCTACAATAGCGTCGGCGAGTTTTCCCGTCGCAGCTGCGCATGCCCCGTCGGCATTGTATGCACACTGTATGCAACCGGTCATGAAATCGTGACGCACATATCATCGCGCTACTGCTAGCCAGCCGCGAGTGCAATGGCGACTTTCGTTGGATGCTTGATTAACATGATAATGTTGCAGACCGTGGTGCGGTTATGCAGCGGCCCATTCCGAAACACGGTCTCTTGAAACCCGGCGCAGCGCCGACTATGTGCATGAAAGTGACCCACTGGAGAAAAAAATCCTACTCGAGTCGTGTGGCAGCGATTAGTTTCAACCGTTGAATGGCTTTGATGAATGTTCTTCTCGCATCGTCCGATCGCAAACGATGATTGATATCGAACTTATAAAATTGCGACTATTCAATAAATACTAGGCATATACATTGCATGACTGCGCCTATTGTAGTGCGAGGAATTCATCAACGCTTTTGTCGTGTCTCACAAAGCGCTCTTATATGCGCCTTTATGTGGATAACGCTCTACTTCAGCTTATGTGCAGTACGAGATTCTATGACGATGTCTCGAACTCAGCGTACTACACATAAAACATAAATGCCAAAGCAAAACCTGCTCTTCATGCCATACATCGTGCGGGCATAAAGTAGATAATACTGCAGTGCGTCCTTGTATTTCTAGATGGCGCTGCATCGCTGTTACATGTTTACATGCTATTCCGTAGAGTATATAGTTATAGTTGTACTCTTCGCTGCTTGTGTCTCGATCGGCGGCAAACGACCGCGGCCCTTCCCTCGCTGGTGATGGCCATAAATCGTTGTACAGAGCTTTCACACTCTGTGCAGCACCAGACGCTATTACATAGCTCGACGCTACCCCCATATCAACCCACGCCTATTGCCTGGCACCCACGCCACCCTAGTCGTACGCTGTCTCACGCCACTCTAGCTGTGCTTTACCCGACGTCATCATATCTGTATGGTACTCCATACCTCCTTTGCTTACACCAACACACTTACGCCACCCTAACCGTTCGCCAACCCACGTCGCCTTAACTGTACGCCACCCCACACCACCCTAGCTGTACGCTACCCCACATCACCCTAGATGTACACTATACTCCACACCACCCTAGCTGTAACTATACGGTACCCCACGCCACCCTAGCTGTACGCTACCCCACTTCACTCTAGTTGTACGCTACCCCACACCACCCTAGCTGTACACTATGGCTACAGCCCTATAGACTGAAGGTCCGATAGACCGAAGGCCCGATAGACCGAAGGGTTATTCGAATACGCAGTGGCTACACGTCCGGAATCGGTCGCCTAGCCTCCAGGCTACGCATCCGGACATCCACTGATGCCGTATTCGAACGTGCATATGCCGCACATCCACCGATGCCACTATAAACCCTAACCTTAACCCTAACCCTAACTCTAACCATAACCATAACCCTAACCCTAACCCTAACCCTAACCCTATCCCTAACCCTGACCCTGACCCTGACCCTGACCCTGACCCTGACCCTGACCCTGACCCTGACCCTGACCCTGACCCTGACCCTGACCCTGCCCTAACCCTAACCCTAACTCTAACCCTAACCCTTTGCAATATTCGGTATATTGGACCTTCGGTCTATCGGACCTTTGGTCTATAGGGATGACCCCCGCCACTCTAGTTGTGCAATACCCCAACCCACCCAAGTTGTGCGCCACCCCACGCCACCCTAGCTGTACGCTACCCTCACCCGTGCACCATACGCCACCACGGTACCTCACGCCACCCTATCTTGTTGACACCCCATAGCTCCATAAATTGTGCCACAACTCACAATTCTAGGGGTACTTCACTCGTCCCACTAGTTTTATGTAATCCTTGGCCACGCTATCTGTGCGTCACGTGACGTTACATCGTCTGTGCGCTACCACACGGCACCCTAGATGTGCGCCATCATACACCACCATGTCTATAAGTTACCGTATCACACTCAGGCTGGTCGCTACCCTACGATACCCTAGCTGCGTGGTACGTTAGAAATTTAGACTACCGCTCAGAAAGTAATGTTGATTTTTAATGCAATGTTGATTTTTAATGCAATGTTAAACCCCACAATTTGCTTCTCCTAGCCGGAAACAAGAGAGAATGCTTGATAGAAAAAAACTGCGCCAGCTGTGCGCGCGTGTGTGCGTGCGCGCGTGCGTGAGTGCGTGCGTGTGCTTGTCTGTATTGTGCGTGTGTGAGGATACGAGTTGCGGTTGTATCACGGCGTTCAGTTCCTCTAAGACACAACTATATGGGCCCTGTATGAGTTAATCGAGTTATTTCATGTTGGAACACATCTCGTCGCTGGATTACGTCACTAACTGTACATACACAATGCTGTGTTGCGTGGAATATTTTAATACATTAATCCGAGTAAATCCACGTTTTAATAAGTCACTAGGTAGCTAAATCCTCCGAGAATAACTGGGTATATCACTTTAATTTGCAGCATTGATGTGAGTCACTGTCCTGTGACTCCTGTCATAAATAAAACTCTGACATCATATATAATCCTTTCGTTGCGTGTTCTTATTATTCGCATTAATGTCGCATGTCGAATTGCAACCTGTGTAAATTCGCTGCAGAAATCGTTATCCGACTGTTTGTGCACGCACATGCGTATTTCTCTCGACGTGTCAGGAATTTACCGCTGCGTCAGTTATATATGTGCTCTTCACTGATTTGTTAGACGATAGCTTTTTGCGTTTCACTCCGCACAAGGGCAACGTTGTTAAATCGACTTCTTATAAAATATGTGCAGTATGATTATAATAATGGCTTACCGGCTACCATTATATTTAACGTTCACGTCATAACGTATTCATGATCGGTGCAATCTGTAACTGACTATAATGCTTCCCGGGAGAAGAAATGCATTGAACTTGATGAATGTGTTCGCGCGACGTCCTAATTAAACCGTTGTACATACATGCATGCTAAACCCGCTCTATCAAGTTTCAACTCTATGATCATCTATATAAATGAAAACACTAGCAAACGTGCACACGCTCTGATGAAGAAGTATACACGCGGGCATGTAGCGTTTAGCTTGATCGTCATTTACTGTCGCCAGTTGTCAACAAAACCACCACCACATGTCGAGCATGTCTATGTCTTTTGTCTGTAAATGCCTGCATACAGTCGATTGAAGAACCTTGAGTACAAAAACACGGAAGAAGCCTTTCGGTAACGTAACCGCGCGTATATATACAACCAATATCTACTATCATAGCGTACGAACCGTACGATAGCAGACGAAGATGTGGTGCGTTACACACAGCGTTGCCGGTGTACAATATTGCACTATATGCAGCTTTTTGTATGGCCAATTTAAAATTGTAATGGACACGATCAGGAACGAATATATTTCTTCGGGTGTACAGCGGTGCCACACTCGCAGTAGCATCGATAAAATCCCGTTGCTCTGTGTACGCGATATTGCGTTAGCGCGGCCCTGAACCGATCCGTTGCAATATTATAAAACCCGCAACTCGATTACCAACGAGTTTTATTTGCTGCCCGCTCCGCAAGCTATACATCGCATATCTCGTCTCACGCGTTTTCATCTGCGCCTATCTTACAATAGCTCTCATCCAGCCAGCCCGCGCGTCCCGCGAGCGAAACCTGCGAGAAATCGATATGCAAATGAAGGAGCAGTTTAGTTCGTGAGTCAGCGCTGCGGCACATGCCCCGCGTACAGCAAGCAGAGTGTGGCCACAGAAGCCTGATTGAGCCCGCCGAAGTCATGCCGTATCGATTTATTCTCCCCCCCCCGTCCCCAGAGCGGTCGGCACTCGCGTAGTACGTTACTGCCCCCTCTATCTCTCTCGCGCGCTCGCATGCGCGCGCTCATTCTACCCATCTTTTTGTCCTGTTTTAGACATCCACGCGTTGTGTGCGCGCGTGTGTGTGCGCGTACGTCTGTGTGTGTGCGTGCGTGCGTGGGTGTGTGCACAAATTTAATAGTAGGTCTCAGGGGAGAGATAGTGAATATAGAAATAAATTGTGGCTATAGAAATCAGTTAACCCTAACCCTAACCCTAACCCTATCCCTAATTCTAAAATAAAACAAAATTAGCCAAAAATAATAAAAAATAAAATAAATAAGAGACAAAATTAGCCAATCAGAGCCGTCCCCTAGCGGATCACTATCTCTCCCCTGTGCAAAATTCCAAATTTAATGCGTGTTGATCTCTGCTGGCGTTCTCGACACCGCGATTCATCCTCTTCTCTCGCCAACGTCTCTCTCGTCGTACATCTCGCTCTTGTCTCTCTGCACTGGCGATATCCTTGCCGTGTCTGCAGAAAAAAAGCCATGCGCGGTAATCGCGTGATATGCAACGGCAACACGACCGCGTCGCGCCGCGTCGAAATTCACCCCACCGGCATGCTGTAAACATACACTCGGATATGTTTCTTCTCGGTCATCGCGGTAATGTCTCGGGTATTCCCGCTACTTCGGTTCGGATCGTCTCTCCCCGTCGATTCTGCCGCGTATTTGCTACTGCTTATTTGCGTTATTTGCGTATTTACGACGCGTCACGAAACTGTGCGTGTGGTTGAACTTTGCCAACACTTGCCATCGCGCGCGCGTGACTTGACAGAGCGCGGTGCGAGCGACCGTGATCACGGTGCACTCCGGGTGCTCTCATGCATGCGCGGCTGTATCGGGCAGCGCTACGACCAAGCCGGTACCGTAGACTCTGTCGACCTAGTTGTGAACCCTTGTCCCCTCCCGGCTCACACACTTCACTCGAATTGCGCCGCAATTTGCATTGCTCGGTAATTAGGGGGTTCGACTCATCTTACACTAAATGACACGGATCGTCGGCAAGGCAATTTGTTCACGAGAAGATATCTGTTAGTATAATACGCTAACTCGGGCAAGATAGACTGCGGTATATCACATAAAAGGGTGTCCTGAGTTCCCGTTTATGTATGATGATTTTTATTGCACAATTCATCATAATTATGATAGACAAGTAGAAAGGCGTAATGCATGTTGAGCACGCGGCCGCTTAGGTCTAGTCATATTTCCGTGTCTAATTATATCGGTATATGTCATGCGTAGGCTTACACGTACCCTTCGTGCGCAATATTCACAGATATCCATGTTCAACGTTTGTGTTATGTGCGTGGAAACATAGCTTATTGCTTGTTTTATGCGAAAACAATTCCAGCAAAATAGACGTAGAAATTGAAATAGCGGATTGCCTTATTTCATGTGATAGCTATTCGTACAATAGATTTTATATGATTTGGTAGACTTCATTTTGTGGCTATGTATTCATGTAACTACTAACGTAGAACCGTGTACTTACTGTAGCACTTTGTCAATAGATAATTAGTTTCATGGTTTACTTGAACATTGGCCCGCCGCACCGATGAGACGTGTACTCATGATTGTGACCGTGACGTTGCCCGCATTTTTGAACTGATGGCGACAGGTACAGAAACCTTTCCTCCATTTGTATACCCACTGACCTACATCACGCTGGTTACGCGGTACGGTATACGCCACCTGGGCAAAGAACAAGACTAATGCTGCCTTTTATAACTTCACTGAGTTATTGTGCCTTGAACAGAGCAAACATGGTACGTGCGAGTGTTAGCAGCAAAACTTGACATCACGACGTTATATAGCCTACAGTGCGCGTGCGTAGCCGCACAGCAAAGGTTGAACATCAGCATGATTCCTCGCTGTGACTGGTAAGAATGTATGCGTGTGATCTATAGCTGTTCTCGCCGACACCCGTGCATTTTCCAGATCCGACGCAGAAGAAATTCGAGACATACCTGCGCAACGACAAGGTACGCGGTTATCATTGGGCGGCGTACACCAATAATATATAAGGCGGTTTATAATCGCAATAAAAGTTCACAGTATAGCCATGCGTGTTTGCTTGCCTGCATGCTGCTATTGGGGCGGTTCACTGTGAGGCAATCACGTTTCGAAACGCCATGGGTGTGCGTGTATATGGCATCGGGCTGTGGATGTACGTGTAATATTGTTCATCCGTATAGTGTCTGTACGTATTCTACTGTGACCTACAGCTATATCTATATACGCAGTGTTATGAGAGAAATGGAAGATTTCGCGAATGCGAGTACAAGGTTTGCTGCTTGAGCGCTTCAACTGCCTACGAAGAGGGGCGGCGAAAGTACGCACGGCGTCTACTGTATAAGTAGCAACTTGGAAACTCGCGCTCCGCAGGAAAAAAAAACAGGTACACTCTTATTGTCGTGGGAGAGTATGAGTAAGTACGTTTGAAAGCGTTTGCTATAAAAGAAAAAAAAAGATAGAGATTAGTCTTGCAATGTAACGCTACGCATCGCAGAACACGCAAGAAGCAACCCCCGAGCGAGCTTCCTCTATGTTGGATTATAACATGGGTTCGAATTGCTTCATGTTATGTCTATATTTATATTTATATTTATATTTATATTATATTGTATTGTACTTTTACCTCATGTTAGGTTTACACATTACGATGCACGCGATTTCTTCGTAATCGCTGTGTCGCTCAGTGGCCTGCGAATTATACTGTTCTATCTATTGCCGTTATATGTTGTAGAACACTGGTTATTCTGATAATACATTTATTTATACCATACTAAGCAGATTGCTTTCTCAAACCATATGAAAGGTTTATTGATGCATGCATGTTTTCATAATTTAATCAATAGCCGGCTTAATAATTCCACACGACGCAATGTCCAAATTAAATTGTCTAAAACTTTTCGGCCGTTTTTTTAGTTAAAAATTTAATATTGGCAAAAACACGGCGTACCTTTTGTCGAATATAAAAATATCAAGCTATGTATGCGACGCGATCTTATTATGTTCGTACATTTATTCGTTATTTTTCTGAGGCATGCGCATACACCTATTGAATGATATCGATATAATATTGGGTTCCTCACCAATAGTCTTACAGGTAACATATAATAAAAAAAATAGTGACCTGCTTCGGTTTCGAAATTTATATGCTGTCCGTATAATAATAATAATAATAATAATAATAATAATAAGAATAATAAGAATAATAAGAATAATAATATGTAGTGATAATAGTAGTGGCAGATGCAGAGATAGAGGTAGATAAAGGTAGCGGAAGAGGTAGACGTAGAAGTAAGGATAATGTGGACTCTCGCTAACCCCTACACTGTCAATCGTGCAACTGTTGGCGATTGCTGGTTCTCGTAGTAGCTATAAGTGCCGTATCTTACCATACAGTTGAAATCATTGCAGTTGCAGGCCTGTGACGGTACATACTTCTATGTCCCCGCCCAGTTACCTGTTGCGTCTGGGTAAGGACAGTGCGTGGACAGAGGTGGTAGGAGGAACGCTGAAATTAATGAAATGTCAAGATGGTTCGGCTGAAAGATACAAAAATTAAATGAAAGTGTCAATGACACTGTAGCTCACCTTGGGTGTGATAGAAGAGGGAGGGGGATATACAAAGCAAAAGTATATATGGGAGAACTCCCATTATATGACATATGTCCCATTATATACTCTTGATAATGATATATGCATAAGTTTTGATGCGAAAATAAATGTTTCAGATCTGAAAGTCTGAAATCTTGACGAGAGATGGCGCTACGCCTAAATGATCGGTATTTTGGTTTTCGAATATCGCATAAATAAAAAGAATAAAATATTCCAGTCAAATCACTGTAACGAAGAATCTAAAACATAATATTACACGTATATAGATATGCTTGTAGAGTTGTTAACCAGTTAGACGAAATAATCGTAATAGGACGTTGTCATCTGTCTCCCATAGGAGTAACAACTGTTTTGGGGCTAGCCTTACACATTCACATACCAAAATTTAACAAAATCGAATGAATTTAGATGGCCATTTTTATTTTTGCCAAAAAGTGGGCGTTGCTCGAAAGTAGGTCGACTGGCGTTCTTCAAAATAAGACATTCAAATCTCGCCCATAGGAGTAACAACTGTATGCAATTTGAAACATGTGGGTCAAACGGTTCTTGGGTTATCGTTGACCGTAGGCAGACACTGAAATGCATAGTGAAATTGCCGAAATCTACCTAATTTGCATAATTAAAAAAATATCAAAACCCCCTGTGAAATGTTTTGGGGCCAGTCCTTATTCATTCACTACTAGAAATGAGCAAAATCCGTTGAACCTGAACTGACTTATGGCCATTTCCATTTTTGCCAAAAAGTGGACGTGGCTCGAAAGTAGGTCGACTGGCGTGCTCCAAAATAGGACGTTCAAACCTCTCCCATAGGAGTAACAACTGCATGCAATTTGAAACATGTGGGTCAAACGGTTCTTGAGCTATCGTTGACCGTAGGCAGACACTGAAATGCATAGTGACATTGCCAAAATCTACCTCATTTGCATAATAATAATAAAAAATCAAAACCTGTGTGATATGTTTTGGGGCCAGTCCTCATTCATTCATATACCAGAAATGAGCAAAATCTATTGAACCTGAACTGACTTATGGCCATTTCTATTTTTGCCAAAAAGTGGACGTGGCTCGAATGTACGTCGACTTGCGTGCTCCAAAATAGGACGTTCAAACCTCTACCTATGGGGCGCCATGTGGGACAAAACTCAATTTTGTCTAACAAAACTCAATTCTGTCTCACAAAACTCACTTTTGTGCACACAACTCAATTCTGTCTCACAAAAGTCAATTTTGTGAACACAAAACTCAATACTGTCAATCCTGTCCCACAAAACTCAATCCTGTCCCACAAAACTCAATTTTGTGAACACAAAACTCAATTCTGTCAATCCTGTCCCACAAAACTCAATCCTGTCCCACAAAACTCAATTTTGTGAACACAAAACTCAATTCTGTCAATCCTGTCCCACAAAACTCAATCCTGTCCCACAAAACTCAATTTTGTGAACACAAAACTCAATTCTGTCAATCCTGTCCCACAAAACTCAAT